ACCAAACCCCACCGTTTCCACCACCGGAACCCTCACAGCTCTCACCACAGCAGGCGAAATAAAATTGCTTGTGGCTCCTGAATCCACCAGAACAATCACCTCCGTCTCCCCTATTTTGCCCTTCATGCGCATGGACCTCTCAGCGATGAGACCCACCATGGACTGAAGAGACAAACGCAATAGCCCTTGTTGCTCGTTGGGTTCCTCTTGCGGTTCAATCTCTCCCTCTTCCTCATTTACTTCTTCTTCGAGTAACCCCTCTTCGTTCGCGTCAGTCTCCAGATTACGGAATCTTTGTTGCGTTTTGCAACGATGACCCGGAAACCACTGCTCCCCACAATGGCGGCAAGGGTTCGTTTTCCTCACCTCCGTTCCAGCGTTGGGTTTTCGCGTCTCTTTGCTCTGTTCCGTAACTCGTCTTCCCGGAGACGGTTCAGTGGTGCGTACCGAGAAGGGAGGGTTACGACTGCTCCGAGCTAGTGGTGAGGTGGAACTAGATCTCGGCGGCGGTCGATAAGTGTAGCCGGTGGCATCTGCCTCCTGCAGCTCAATCAATCTCGCCTTCTCGACTACCTCGTTCAACCCGTTCGGAGTGCACCTCAAGACTTGATCCCGAAGTTCTTCCGCAACCCTCTCAGGAACATCGATTCCACCACGTCATCCGGCACGTGTGGGGCCTCCACTATGAGCTCTTCAAACCTTTCCCAGTACTCGTCGACAGATCCCTTCTGTACGATGGTCATCATCTGGTCAACGATGGATCCTCCTTTCCCTGGGCCAAAACGACGTTTAAACTTCTCCTTGAAGTCGTTCCACCCTTTTACCGCATCTCTATCCTTCGTATAGCGCAACCAAGTCACCGCGCTACCCGTCAGACGAGCCATTACTTGCTCCACCTTTTCAGACTCTGTCGTGCGGTTAGCGGTGAAACAGAGCTCCACTCTGTAGATCCACTCGTCGGGGTTTTGCCCTTCATAGAGAGGTAACTCCGAAAGCTTACTCGCGGGTTTGGACTGGGTGTCGACCTTCAACCCCTTCGGTGAGCCCACCTCCGTCGTCTGCAAGGGCGGAAGTTCTCCCTCTTGCACCTCCTTGTCTCCTCTTTCCTTAAAGGAGCTTTCTTTTCGAAAAGTCGGGAGCTTGCTCTAGGAGTTGTTGCGGGTGTGTCGTAACCCACTGGGTTGGCTCCTCCCAGTTGGTTTCGGAGTAACTGACCCAGAGTGTTGCGAATCCAAGCTTGCTCCTTCTCCATCTTCAACAACTTCTCACGCAGCTCTTTGTCGGAAAGCTCTTCTCTTTCGGTCGGATCGGAGACGGCCTCAGAAGAGTCAGCCATGGAACCTGTTGCTCTGATACCAATGATAAGCCTGTGACTTATCGGATCTCGGGAAGCCAGTGACAACACGAGAAAATGGACAACACAAGTGTTGATGAATATTATATTTTCATAAGATGCGGCCAACCCTAAACATGGGAGGCATTAAATACAATGTTCCTTCGCATTACGACAAACTAGAATAGAAAGGAAACGACACAGTTTAACAAAAGAGCTAATCTGAATACTTATTTAAATTAGTAGACCCTCGGATTCAGCGGGAGGGATTGAACTTCTCTTCTTGACCGTTACTCTCAGCCACTTTTAGCTCCTTCCTTCTTCCTCGAAACTCTGCCACTCCGTTTCTTCTTCTTACAGTAAGCTAGGGGAAAAGCCAGCTTATCACTCAATTAAACACAAATATCGATAAACCAGAATGCAATAGAAAAGATATCCATCGAAACATTTCATTAATAGTATGTATCTTCCATGAATTTCTTAAGAATCTCGGCAATACTCTACGAGCTTCTCGACTGTTTAATGCAGAAATTCTTTTTACCTATTGCGAACCAAAGTGAATGATGTTGCTCTGCACAAATTTCAGTTTAGAGGCATTACTTATGTTGGCATTTCAGTTGAAATTTTGCTGCTAAGTGCTAAGTAAAGGGAGTTCTGTCATTTCCTGTTTTGTTGACATTTGTGAGAACGTGGCTAGAGAGATCGGCAATCACATATCACTTCAGCACCCTAATATCATTCAGTTTAAGGAGGCAAGTGTTTTTCCTGTCATTTTAATATTGTTCAAGATCTTCCTTGTGAAAATGCACTATTTGGTTCCAAAGTATTGTGAACGTACTCATCCTGTTTACTGTGATGGTATGCTGCAGGAGGAAAACTTTTTGATGAAATCTGCACTGATAGCAGATACAATGAAACTGAGGTGATCTTTGATTTATAGTCTAACTCTCTGATTTATCTGTTGCTCGCTATTTTTGATGATGTTGATCTGTTTAGTTTTCATCCTCCTTAGCTGTTTTGCCGTGTGCCGCCTACTGCCATTTCTTGGTATATTCCAACATTCATTTTGCTTAGGAAAGTTAATGAGCCATTAGTGAAAAATAATCGATGTTTTTTTCCTACATAGATATTTTATTATAGTTGGAATTTAGAGTTATAGCAATTGATTTGAATGATTTGTCACGTGTACGTTGTCTAGATGTTTTTACATGGGTCTAAACATCATTCAATTCTTGAGCTCTTGAAATTGCATTATCACTTCTGAACTTCTGACATTGTGTAACTATATCTGCAGCAAAAATGTGGTGTTACTGCCGGCTGGTTCACACGCCAATGTCTTATATTTGTGGGAAGGCATTTTGTTTGTCTAATAATTCCTCTTACTCTGCAACTACGGGAAGAAATAGTCTTTCAGCCTTATGCAAAAATAAACGGGATTAGAGGACGCCATCTATGTGCTAATGTAGGATGATCATTGTCTGTCCCTTAAATAAAGTTTTTAGGAAGAGAAATTTCACATAAAATTTTTGATAGAGAAACGTGATTTCATTATGTCTTCCTCTGGGAAGAGCTTGTCTCTTTGTTTCTCTGTTCAGTCTTATATCTCAATAATGTTTGTTCTATTCCATCTATATCAAGATGTTCAGCTCCGTGACTTTTAACTCCATCAACTTTCCACTTTTATCCACAGGAAGATACATACTGTCCCCATCCACAGATTCAAGATGTTATATGGGATTGCTTTTACTCACTGAGCCGTTTCATACATATTGGCCATTTAACAAGCATCTTTGGGAAAAAGCTCTTTGGTGGCAATGAAAGATAGACATTATGAAGACGGAAATATATAGCCATTATATTCGTTATGCAGAAATTAATCTGAACTAACTAAAAGCTTAAGATATCCTTTTGAAGGCATTATACATGCTTGCGTGTTACAGATCATTTCGGTTGTGCAGTTAGAAGCTCGAACCCTTGGGCTGTGCAGTCAGAAGCTTGCCATCCATGATCTCTATTAGAGATTGTCCACGACCCTTTGGACATGCGACAATACATGTTTGTGAAGTCACCCGAAGGGTTCTCTCTAACCTTCAAAATTCTCACTTCTGCAAGACATCTTCACTTGATCTGATAATTTAAAAAATTCTTACAGCTATATGAGGGGACCTTTATATGAGTCGTTTACTATCACTTTCTCTACACAGAGCTTTATACCATATATAGAGAGAAACTCCTCAATTTTATCAATAAATTTCTGTTTATTCGCTCTTGCTGCAGATAAAAAATGGAGGTCTATTAGAATCTCGCAACCACCTGTTCTTTTCATGCCGCTTTACCAAGGAAATCTGGTCACAGCTGGTGAATAAGCTTCTTGGACATCACTTCACGACGGACTGGGATATGATCATTTCTCTGCTCTCCGGATCTAATTTGTAGACTACTCCTCTGTTCCTGCTGCGATATACTCCATTGAAAATTTTAGTCTGCAATCTTTTGGCGTATGATTTGTCTTCTTGATTGTTTATTGTTTAGTTCTCAATTATGATTTTTTACAAAGAGAATAAAACAACTTAAGACCGTTTCTTGGTTCTAAGAAATCAAGGATTACAAGATAGACAACTATCTTCCATTCGCAGTGAAACCATTTATTGATTTCTGAAGCCAAATATACAGACGCATGAGAGACGAAAGAGAACATTTACATCCGAATCCAATAGAGAAATGGGAAGAAAAGCTTCATGACGGTTCAAATCAAAACTTATGAATTGCAAATTATTTATTTTTTTCTCACTAAGAACCAAATCAAAGTTCGATTTAAACAATTTTCCTTAGATCTCTTGTGTATCAATAAATAATACATAGATTATGATCGAATAATAGAACAAGGAAACTGAAAAAAAAACTATAAAAAAAATTGTTTAAAATAAAAGTTTTCATAAATAAATCCGCGGATCCCGCGGTACTCACCTAGTATACTTTAATTGGTCTAGTAGTTATCCGCATCCAGCCTTGCTGAGTTCGTAATGCAATTGGGTTAAAAGCTATTTTGTGAGATTATTCCAAAATTCGATGACGGCTAAGTTGGTTAGTATTCCTGTCCAGTTCTATTATTGCATGTATGCTAATGAATGGCAAAATGGTCATTAATATCATCTTCTTCACGTAATCCTAATCTATGGCCACCATATTTTTTGTACTTGATTTCCACCGTTTATAATCTCATTTGAATACGGTTTAACAAAGAAATGGTAGATTTGACCTTAATTATCATATTTCGAGCAAAAAACCGAGATAATTTGAGGTTTACTTTAACTTTACTGATCTTTACTCCGATTATACCATAATATCAGCAAATTTCTGCGGCGTATAGTTGGCGCCTAGACAACCTCTGCGGCCACGTTTTTGAGCAAGGGTTTTTTCCTAAAGGAAATTATTTTCTTAAGTGAAGTGTAGCACCGATAGTTTTGACAATTTTTGTGATCAGTAGGAGTTGGTACAGATCATCTAAACTAATTCACTACACATTATTTTGGTCTCATACTCGCATAAACTGCAAATTTGAAATCGAGAAAAGGAAGTCAACGTATGTTGATAGCACCAAGTCCACAATGCCTTGAGGATTCTGAAAGAGAAAAAACCATTTTGAATACTTGGAATGGAGGGTGTCTTTGATCAACGGAAGAAAATATTAAGAATCAACAAAAATACCGTACAATTTGAAGTTTTTTTCAGTTTGAAGTCCATAAGATGGGATCAAGAATCTCAAAGACAACTGATACAGTCTGAGTACCATTGGAAATCTAATCGAGATGTGAGTAACCATTCCAATGTAGGAAAAAAACAACCCAAACTGTGGGAAGTAAATCACAGGTGTGTACATTTTCACGGCTTCGATCATTTACTGTTGCAAAAGAGGCTTCAATTGTGCTTTGAAAAGGTTAGCTAGTGCACCTCGTATGTCCATCTGCAAACAAAAAATGTCGTCGACTTTAGCTCACGTGTGTGATAGATCTATATGAGAAACAAGTCGAAAGTTGGCGCCTTAAATATTAAGGAACTTGCCTGTTCACAGCAGACAAGTCTCGTGAGCAGAGGGTAGAACTCTCTCATATGTTTCCTGAATACTTTGTTGTTCATGAAGCACATGCCTTCCAGAACCTAGAACAAGATGAAATTAGAAAATTATACTTTCTATTAAAGATTTATAGTCTCAGCGATGATATTATTAGGCAATTGAAGATGTTTTATATTTTTACCTTCACAATTACAGGAGAACGTAGCTCTAGCACGCGATGAACATCCATGTTAGTAGTCTCCCCCAGAGTAGACTGGAGATCAGATGTTTCTTTCAGCACCTGTTCACAAAACGATACCAATTTTTCTTCTGCTGCACCTTCTAGTTTATCTTCAGTGTTAGATGCACCATCGACAAGCCCAGAAGTTGTCTTTTGCAAGACATCCAAATATATGCTGGTTCCTTCCAGCTCTTGCCGGAGAAGGTTTAAAGGTGGCCTGTAAAATAATAAAATGTTCAAATTCTATGTTCGAAGGCAAAATATCTATTTTTCAAAGGCTTGGTCACTAACCTCTCCGCGGGGATGTGATTCATACGCGTTCTGAGGTTAGAATATGAATTGTAGGAAGCAGCAAATTCTATGAAAGAAAATAAGATGTCCATAATCGCAATCTTTTGTGCTGTTTTCAAATTACTCCAGTATTTTTGCTGCAGAATTAACGTTAAACAGGAAATATGCAACTGTCAGTTCACAACACCTCGCACACTTCCTCTGAAGCTTATACGTGGGTTTCAGGTGTTCAAGAATAACATTGTTTTCTTTAAGACCATGCATCATAGCGAAGCAGAAGACATCAAAATACCTGGATACTGTTGATAGCACCAAGTAGTAGTAATTGTGTGATGCATTTGCCTCTAATAGTTCCCAGAGATGGACTCTCTTCTTCTCTGTTGTCGGGCTCTGTAGGATCCACATGCTACAGGAGGAAGTAATTAGTAAAGAGTTCTTTCCCTATATATCATATTATTCAGAGAAACAAGAGAACTATGGCTGAAAAAAAAAGAGAAAATAAATAAAGAAGGAATGAGCTGTAAAGCGTGTAAATTAGCAAACATATGTCAAATGGACGGCAAGCCAGGGGCAGGTAGTGTGCTCGTGCACAATTTACCTTATATGGAGAAGAGGGTACAGACACCTCTGCAGCAGAGTTTTTTGGTTGAGATGTGAGATTCCTCATGAAGAGATTGTCCATGAATCGTTGACCAAAAGTCTGACTTCGATGGATATTCACATCATCCCCATCCTTTTGAGACCTTCCAGATGACGACGGACGACCTTCAAGGGGAAACATAAAGTTCAAAAACATGGCGTTGTACAATCCAATTGTCTTTCAAACGGTTATAAGCCACAACATGTCCTACTTCAGTGGCAATTCTATTTCAACACCATAAAATATCCAAAGTTCTGCAAAAGTTAAGAGGCAACCTTCAGCACCATCTGACTTGGGCAGTATCCCAGATTCTTGGGAAGCACCATGAGTACCAATCCTTGGAGATGCAACTTTCCCATTATCTTCCATATCGTCCGGATTATGATCAACTCGTGGATAATCAGAGGCATCGGCCTCTATATCTCCTGTCAGAACTAGGTTCTTTTCAGGATTGTCAAAACTCAAAGCACTCAACAGCTCCAGCGGTTGAGTTGTGTATGATGCATCTCTAGAAACCGAAAGAAAAAAGTTAGATATCAACATTTGTAGGTAAAAGTTTGTGATGAAAGATGGTCACCTTATGCTTTTCAAGAGCATATCCCAGTCGCCCTCACTAAATTGGTGGCCTCCAACTTCTATGAGGTGAACCAATGCTCCTAATGAAATTGAAACAACTGTCTGATCTGATTTCTTCGCACAGTCTAGGAGCAAACTTAAAAGTGGAGGCAGCATAAAACAAACTTCCTGCTCCAAAGGTGAAAATTCAATGGTCAAATTTACAGCACGCAGCAATATGCAACAATATGGTTTAACGTTGCATGTTAAGAAAATTTTTGGGTACGATATCATGTGGTAAGCAATAAGTCTGAGAAGATTGAGTACTAATCAACTACATAAGGGACAAATGAAAACGCTTCATCAGTACCTTGTAGAACGTATTAAAGAGATTGCAGAGGAGCTGAAGGGAGTGAATGCTTGTTTCACGAAATTTTACATCCCCAGACGATATTAAGCCTTCCTTTCCAGCATGACTCACATGATCAAAAATTGGAAACAAGATGCGATGAAAGATACTCTCCCAGAAAGGTGTGGAGAACTTTTTGCCTCTTTCATTCAGCAAATCAAACAACACCTCCAGAGCGCAGTTTCTAACTTCAGCCCTAAAATCTGATGTAAGATCAGATAAACCGGCAAGCATCGGATACCAGTAATGCTCTGTCACATCAAAAGTTTCATCCTCATTGGTATTGACGGGCTTGAGAACACCACCAGGTATAAGTCCCTGAGAATCATCATACACTTGGCAAATGAGCAATATAGATAACAGAGGGAGAACTCAAAAGAAAATGAGGGAATTTGAAGACAGAGCAAAATGTAGATACGAACGGGAAGGAGTGTGAAGTATAGGACTAAAGCTATAATTGAAGAGGAAAAAGCTGAAATGTCAAGCTAATTTTAGCTTGAAAACATACCTCTGCAAGCCGATCTTCACATATTCTGAGAAGGGCAATAGCTTTCAGGCTTATCCGGTCTGAAGCTTTGTTATTGGCAAACCGGATGAGACAGTTGACGCAATCCATGAAGCAGTCACCGATCACCTGGTCAAAGTGTTCCAGAATAACTGCAAACAAACTAGTATTTACACAAACTTTTCTCGAAATTAAAGAGATAGAAAATACTCAAAAATTAAGATCCAAGAGCAAGAGTTTGATGGACAGTTTGTCACCTTGCTCAACATTCTCAAATGATTTTTCAACTATTGATTCAACTTCGTCATCTGCAGCTGCTGTAAATATCATAAAAACACTCCTCCATCCCGATTTTATACTTCCAACTTTTGATTTTATCATCTAAAAGAAAAAACGAATGGTTAGCTGCTAACAAATTGGCTGCATCATACTGAATAACAAAAGCACAAGAAACATATTAATTTTCCAATTTAGAAAAGATCAAACGAGCAACCTGAACGATGCAGTCAACGATTAGGCTCCTAATGGTCTGACTTTGAGTATTCCGCATGATAATAACGAACGGTTTGAGAATATCATTTTGGAAAGTGAAATTGGTCAGCTCAGCACGTTCCAAATACTTCATCCCGAGCTGTCTCAGAGAATCTATGGCATACATTGCAATCTTTTCATCATGATGGCTACCAGCAGATACAAAATGTTCAGCGAGGACAGACCATATTCTTGCCCAGACCTGGGATATGCCACAAAAGCAAACACAAATAAGTCATATAAGCATATTAAAGTTACCGGAACCATGTATAGCCTAAGATACATAATCTACCGGCCCTTCAATATTACATTGACAAGGGAGTTAAGAAACAGTTATATAATAGAAACCAAAACTTGTTAAATGCACACTAGAGATAATCCAATATTTGCAGAGAATAGAACACAAAATTAACAATTTTTTCAACTTTACTTTCTGATTGTGTTATTGTTAATGCTGCTCATTCTTAGTGTATAGATACTCTTAAGTTGCATGAGGTGCGAGGATTGGGTATGTGCTGTGACCGTGTATAAGTTTTCATATTTAACCATGCATCTAGAAGACTATCAGAAGAGTACCATTCGAATACGAGCTATGTTGTAATAACTGATCTCAACGAGCTTCTGCAGGCTGAAAACACGGGCAGGAGACTGTTTCAGTTCTTCAGCGGACACGCCACATAGAGCAGTGAAGAATTCCACAACAGATTCGCTGGGCAGCTTCACACTGTTTACAAAAACTTGTTCAGCCGGTCTCCCGGCTAATTCTTTCAAGGACTGAACAACCCCATCCCTTGAGATCTGATTTGATCCATGCATTACTGTTGCAGCAATCCCAGGAGTAGAAATAATAAATTCAAGCCGAGAAACACATTCTAAAACTGCATTCCAAGTATCTTGGAGGGTATCAGGTTCTGAGTCACACAAAGCCAGCAATATCCTCAATGCTTCAACATTTTTGCTCCGCATTTCTTTTGGAGCATGCAAGAAAGTGAACCTATGGACAATTCAAGGAAAATAGTCAACATGCCACAGATTGCTTCAATAACATTTGCACCGCAACAGCACAATAGCTTACATTCAATACACAAGGCAGTCTAAATATATATTCAACACTGAAACATAAAAGGGAGCGTGAATAAAGTGTTACAGGTTTACCTGACAAGCGATGTTAGAAAGGCATAGCGCATTGTATCCATTCCAAGAACAAAAGCGATATGTATGCCAGCTTTAAATCCCTCCATGCAGAGAAGAATCCTTGGTTTGTTATCACCTACTTCCATTGTAACGGAGAAAGCAGCAAGCAGAGGCCACCCAACAGCTTCAACCATCGGCCTTATAATGTCCACTTGCTCGACAGTGTGAAAGACTCCTCTTTTCACTCCATCCTTTCGAAAAATTTCCTGTGTTTTTCTAACAATATCCTCAGTCTCAGATTTAGCATCAGCTGCTGTTATTCTTTTGGGCAAACCCAGATTAAGAATACTGACAAGACCACCTCTTTCTTCTCCTCCTGGCCTTTGACTACTGACCTTCCTTATGTTGCTGTCATCATCTTTTAGTTTAATCTCTTCTTGTACAATAGAATCATAGATCTCTTCCAGAAGTTCAGTTGGAGCACTATCTTCAGGATCAGTCGTAGCATTCATACGTATAAAATCTGATTTTGACATCTTAGGCCAAACCATTGGATTATGCGCATCGGTATTCAACATAATAACTGCATAGGCTAGAACATAGGCGGTATCTGCATTCTTGAAAAGATCCGGATTGTCTGCGCAATATCTATTCAAAGGCAACAATGGAACAGAAAATTTTAGTTACTAATGGGATAAATGGATAAGGTAATAATCTAATGGTCACCTAATCCACAATTAATCAACAAGCTTAATATTTGTACTAAAAACTCAATATATGATCTAAGGAGAATAATACATGGTGTCATTACCTCTCTGCAAACTTTTCCATAATGCGATCAATTTTTTGAGCCTCTCCTGGAAGTCTAAAACCTTTGAGGAATTCACGAATAGCAGAATGAAACTTCATTTCTGAAAATTTCATAGAGTCAACATATGCGTGCATGACAGCAAGAGGAAACTCCTCGTGTTGGCCCAAGTAATCGCCAATCATAACCTATATATAAAAACAGTTATATACCACCTAGAAATAATGAATATAACACCTAGAAATACTGAATATAACACCTAGAAATACTGAATATAACTATGCATAGTTCTACTGTCCCACCTTCTTCAAACTTGACGTACTTCTCAGAAACTGTGCAACGGAAGCAGGATTCCTTTCGACCAACTTGTTTGCTATTAAATATTCTACACCTTTCACTGAATTCCTGTTGAACTGCAAGAAAGAAAAAATATATGATTATCCATGCCTTAGTATGTCACCACTAGTGGCAAGCATTCAGGAGGTTGAATAATTACCTCAGAAATGGCAGCCTCCATTGTGGATTTATGAGCTTTAGCCTTCTCAAAGTTGCTTGGGACATCTTCCCTGCTTTTAGTTTCAATGGGCTCTCCAACAGAATCAGAGTCCTCGTTCGGATGTCTTGTACTATTTTCAGCTTCTCTTCTTATTTTCTCCCAATCAACCAGCGATTTAAGAACGTTCACCAGGCACTGGAAATATTTAAGAAAAAGGTATCTTTATTTGATTATTGATAGAATCACTACATAGCAATATAACTAGCTTATTTTCGGGATGCAGCAGGTAAAGCAAATGTGACATGACGCCTACCTGAAGGGATGAACCTTTAACTGAAGCTGTTTGTGAAGCCATGGCAGGATTTGGCTCAGCAGTTTGAGACCCTTGAGCAATTTTAGACAGTGTTGTTACCTAGAAGAAAAGAAAAAGATGTAATTTGAGCCACAACTACCAGCCACATTGCCGATGTACAGTAGTTATATATGAGAAGAAATGGGAGTGCACCATGCGCTCAAACAGGTTCGGGGCCTCTAGATCACAATCATAGTTTACATACACATCAACAAGCATCTGAGGATCTTTACAGACTTTTTCAAGCATCCTGCAAAAGGAAGAAAAATAATATTCATGAAATTCACGTCAAACGAGAGAGTAGAATCGCTTAAGAGACACATTCAAAGCAAAATACATATGGACAGAGCAGAATAACACTTTACCTAAGAACACCCATCTTCTGGTCATTGGGACACTCGGAGCTATCTAATGATCGTAAGACGATGATGGGGAAAAAGATACCAATTTCACCCTGGTATTGAGAATCATCAGAAAAATATGGTAAAACGTAACAATCACTGCAAAGAAGAAATTCTAAACTGGAGACATAGGATGCTTACTTTTAAACTATCTCTGAACCGCAGCAAAAGCACGGAGAAGATACCAGATGCATACTGCCAGAACATAAATTTTAGTTAAATACAACATCGTAATAGAACTATCAAAGATCTACATGAAATGAAGAATCAAACCTGAAATATAACAGCAGACTGAGAAACTGAAGCTCGCAACAATGCATATGAAAGGTATGCTTTCACTGAATCAATAAAGTGAAAGTTCTTTGTAAACGAATGACTAACTCCTTCTAGCATACCCTGCATATTGCAAACATATACGTTGCAGAATAATTGTTCAAACTTAACCAACAGAAAGAAACCTTCAGAAAAATTGCAACATATATAAAAATCTACTGTGAATAATCCTTCTTTGTTTTCTGATAAGCAAAGAGGTAAAATATGGGGCTTTCACAACATTAACGGGGTAAATCACACCTAGGACACAAGGCATGTCTCAGACGTTCAGGCAGAAAGAAATGGAAAGTTCATAGTCACAACGACCATGTATATAGACCACTATTTGAATACAAAATAAATATAATTTATATATGCTCTACTGTCTTGAAATGCCTATAATTACAACAAGATAATGTAATTAAGTTTACCTGAAGAAGCTCAAGAGACAATATACGGGTCTTGGTTGTGACTTCGTCACTATCTTCTTTCATACCCATCTGATACAGATTTAAAATATGTCACAGAAGCACCACAAAGAGCTAGGCAAGGATGGACAGATGGAACGCTCAAAATGCCAACCTTGCAAAGGGTACGAAACACTAGCAATGCATCACGCTGTCCAATACTCATGCTCTCTAGCTCGATGCCCCTATGGAATTAAAACGAGTTGAATACAAAGCCATGAATCTTACAAAGAAAAAAAACAAGTCTCATCCCGTATTTCCTAATCATAACAAAGTAAATATGAGCGTGTATGTATGTTCGGCCACAAGCAGGTTTATACGTATAATACAGGCGTGTGCGTGAGTACGCACAAACTCAAACACATAAACCACACAAGCATAAATAGGCGACATACCCGTATCTAGATCAGTAAAGCAAAAGCTTAAACACAAGAAAAAATAGTGTTGTAAACTATACCGTTTTATTTTCTTGCCATCTTCAAGATGCACAGCTTTGTCAAGGGCGGCTTCTAAACCCTGAACAAAGAATTAAGAACTTAATGTCCGCAAAAACCACAACCTTTGAACTACAGTATACAAAAGTTGTTCATCTATCAGGAAGACTAAGTAATCTATGCACGAGAACTTCTTCCAGACTCACTATTTTCATCTATTTCTTACTAGAATTCAGACAGGGTATTCCATAGAGCCTATGAGATGCATACGTGTTACAAAAATTTTTTTAGGGGGCAGTCGAAGACAAGTGACTTACAATTAACTCTAACTATCCAGAAGAAACTACAAAACAGTATAGAATTTTTTTCTTCTAGGAAAATATAACCTTTTTCAAAAGCGTTTCAACACTTCTTTCTTGAAGAATACATCTCTAATCCAATCACAGCAATGGAGAAAAGTCTAAAATGTAGGGGAAGACAAACCTTAATATCAGCACCGCCCACAAGGGTATGCAGCTCTTCAACAGAAGCAAGAGTTGTATCTTTTGCCTGAGTGAGTGCATCTCCTAAGGTCATTTCTTTCTCATTTTGGTCAGCTGCAGTAATTTCTACATTTTTAGAGCTTGAACTGTCGCCTGAAATATGTTCTTCTTGAGACACTGTAGATGACGCGGAAACCTAAAATTATACATTCAATTATCAACGCTTTCAAACAACATTTACTTTGCTTTCATGCATTCAATAAAACATATGCAACATTAAGAAATTCAAATTTCTTACAATGTCAGTCTCCATTCTCCTGAAAACAATGCTTATCATTTGAGTTAACATTGCTTTAGAAGTTGCTTGGTTTATTGGGCTCTTGCTACATGTAAAAATTGCAATTAGTGATTACACCTGATGTGATGGAAAAATTTGATAAAAGAAAAGAAAGTATACCTATTTAGAGCAATGTTATAGCAAACTCGAATAACTCCCAGTAATGGTTCCCCGTGCACTGCAATCAAAACAGATTAATGAAAGTATTGGAAGAACAATAAATAGAGAATCAGGTTCAGCCAGCTAAAAGTTACAAAACAAGTCTTGTACATCAGAGGCTTACCTTTGAACTTTCCTGAAGCAACAGCTGTAAGAAGAACCTTCAGCACTTGAAGTACAGTGCTGCACAAAATTATCAGCTTTAAGAATAGGTATAACCAATCTCCAGAAGATTCTGAAACACAGAGCAATGTACCTGTCTGCTGATGAATTATCGACACAGCTGCAAACCATGTTCAGAATCTCGGTGAAAGGAGCAGAATTTTTTCCACCATCCAAACCCGGATCGCCCTCCAAGTGATCGTAGGCAATGAGTTTCTGCTTGCAACAAACAAAGAACAAAAATTATTTACAGAAAAACAATCAACGGATTGGAGATACATTACATAAGTACAGATTTACAGGAATCTTAATAAGCAATCTATAATGGAGCAAACGACCACGATGCTCAAAGCAATTTAAAAAAAAAAACAAAAACATACATGAAGACAATCCAAAGCAGCATCAAAAATCTTTAAGTTCTTTGTCTCAAATGCAAGGCGTAAAGGCTTCAGAACAAGCTCCACTTCAGCTCCCCCTAATGTGTGTCCAGCATTAGCTAAGGAATTGTTGATAGTTCCGCTTTTTGACTGGCTAGCCTGATCGGCCACTTCACCACTCGGTTCATCTGCTTCTCCCCCAATTTTTTCACTTCCACTTTCAGCCTGTGAACTGAAGTAAATACAATTGAATGTCAGTCAAGAAAAAATAGACCATTGAACTTAATATTCACATGCATAACGCAGTCCGACAGACGGAACAGGCCACCTTTACATATAAATGAAAAAATTCTTAAGAGTTGGACAGCTGAAATTAAAATCAGATCACAAAACGCTCAAACTCTGACAGAAGACAAAAATTTGACACAGAGTTTTCATGATATCAAGTGTAGCTAGTTGCTACCTTGGTTAAAGTCAATAACCCAAACATCAACAGATGACTACCTAAAATCAAAATAAAATTTCTAAGTAAATACCAATGACTATCGAGAAAACTTAATCCAGAGCAGTAAATACTGACAGGTGGGTATAAACCCAACTAGCTAGCAGAAAATGTAGCATTGGTGTGGTCATTACCTCTCATCTATGCTCGAGGATGCAGCCAGGGTAACAACCTTCGAACCATCTACAAACAACCAAAAATGGAAGCTAAACTAGTTAGCGGAAGAAATAATTATCACCAACATATTTTTCCATCATATGAAAACAATATTACCAATGCGAAACTAGAGCAAGCCAAAAAAATGCAGAGAAAAGCCTAAATCAAAGACTTGTTCAAAAGTCAGAGAAAGTCCTTCTTATAATTTCACCTCATTGACAGAGACCAGTTGGAAATCTAAATAGCACACGCAGCTTAAAGTAGCTATACCCTGGAGATGACAAGCTCATAGAATGTTTGTAATAATGGACAAGACCACCTTTCACTTTATCTTAAAACTAAGCAAATCATCCTGTAATCATGTAACCAAACCCTGTCCAGAACTTTCTTGTACAATTGGAGCATATAAGAACTAATGTCTCCCTAAACATTATATCACTAAAACAAAAGAATATGAAGTTAAACTATTCTGATATGTGGCATATCTTTGTTCACAAGTCTACGACAGGTATCACAGATACAAACTTTTCGCCAGAAGCTGATCCAAGGGCTAATTGCCAACGAATCAAATGACAACAACTGAAATTCATAGCATTAGCCTTTGTCCTATCACACACCATACTAAAGTTCACTAAACAAACCAAAAACGACAATTTAGCAGATATGCGCTATGATCGTACTCCGAAAGTTGAAAGTATCCAGGACGAAAAGCAACGCTCGAACGACTTTACGAAAAACTAAACCAATTTAAACACGAGCAAAAAATGGTGAAAATTGAGATCTAACCTTGATACGCTTGAACAGCTTTCTGGAGATCAGGATACTTCTTGCCACCAGACTCCTTGAGCATCGTCTCGAATGCTCGGGTCAAAAATCCACCCGCCGCCATATTTCCTCCCTCTTGACCTTCTTATTCCTCTTCCACTTCTTCGTCTTCCCTCTGCTTCAACATCAACCACTGTATCGAACGATATAAGAACGGATCCTGCGCAGCTAGATCGTTACAGATAACGACGGGATCGAGAGAGAAATGGGATATGAGAATTGCTTTTGCTCTCTAGTTTTGATTATCCCTTGACCGGAGAGGCTCGATCGAAGAGAGATCTGAAGCAGCGAAACGAGCCACTAGCTAGATCTAATTTCTCAATTTTTTAAAAATTTATTACTAACTACGTCAAAGGTAACAAAAGAAAACCAATAATAATAATGTCTCTGTTACTCAAGGGCAGACCGGGATTTTAAGTTTAATTTTATTCCCGGTTTGAATATGTGAGATTTCTCTTTTTGCTTAATATCAAGCCAGTCTACTATCTAATTTTGTGTTCAAACAAAATTTCTACTTGATTTTCTACTAACTGTTATTTCCATTGCCAAACAAAAATATTAATTTTAATTTAGATTTATTAATTAAATTAATTTAGTATAATATTAATAAAATAATTTATTTTTAATTTCTATTTTAATATAAATCAAAATTTTAGTTTTTAATTTAGACTTATTATAAATTTCCTTAAATATAGGTTATATTATCAAAAATTATAAAATAAATTATTATTATATTTTTACAAAAATAATAACCTAGATATTAATTTATGAAAATGATATATTATTGTATATTTTTATTAAATAAGTCTAAAATTTAATATTTAAACTTAAAAAATATTTAAAATATACAAATAATATGAATAGTTAAACTTAATAAATATTTAAAATATACAAATAATATCAACAAACATGTTATATGTTTTAATAATTTTGATTTTTTTTAGATTAATATAAATGAGCATGTTATAATGACGTCTTTTAATTGTGATATTTTCAGATTAATATAAACGGATGGGTTAGAATAATATTTTCTAATTGCGGTCATATATAATACTAGACAAAACTAAATCAATAGAAACAAATTATATTCAAACAGAAAATTGTTTTTCATCATTTATTTAAAAATTCTATATAAACAAAAACAAAAACAAGAGTTATATTAGATAAATAAAAAATAGTTTTCGTGCAGACGCACAGGATAGAATCTAGTTAGTTAGTGTTTAAAAACGTGCTAGGTGCTCGTTAAACGTCAGACAAGCGTATAGCAGGCGTTTAAGTAGAATTTATGCGAACAAATTTTTAGATATATATATATAATATGTTTTATATAAAGTTAGTAGAATTTTTATATCTTAGTTTCAGGAAAAAAAAAGTACAAATTTAGTTTCAAATACTAATTTAAAAACTCTTAAGAAGGGAAAAAATAACTTTAAAACCCATAGATGTTCCTAAATCTTAAATAACACAAAAAAAAGACATGATCTTTAAATAAATAAAGATGGAAAATATGAAGTTTAAGATTATTTTGCATATAAATCAAGCCTTAATTGCCAAATACGGTTTAGCGACTAAAATCAATATTATTACACTAAGAAAATATTAAATTACAAAACGATATACAATTGTACTAGTTTTTAGTATTTCATAAAAAAAAAAGAGTTTAGGTGTCCACCAAAATGTTATTATGCGCTTGAATTCTTTTAAACCGCATAAATTAGCACCCGATTACCACTAGTTAAACCGCATAAATCACTGTATTATCCACAAAATTCTTGGGTTCACCCCTAGGGGTGAATTCATTCATTCACCTTCTTTCATTTTAGCCAATGAGAATCTGCATATAATAAAATTAATTAAAGTAATTTACCATAAAGCACATTTGCTCTTTTTTTAATGAAAAATTAAATCCTAAATTGGAAATAGTGAATCCAAACATAATATTTAAGTTTATGTAGAATAATTTTTAATAAAAAAATATTTTTATATAATTATATGTTTATTTTTGAATTTTAAATAAAGAAAAATTAAACCCTAAATTGGAAATAGTGAACACAAATACAATATTAAATTATTTTTTAATGAAAATAACTAAACTCTAATTTGGAAATAGTGAACCCAGACATAATATTAAAATTTATGTAGAATTATTTTTAATAAAAATATATTTTTACATAATTCTTTGTTTTTTTCAAGGTTTTAAAGGAAGAAAAACTACTCCTAAAGCTCTAGATGGCACACTTTCTTTCTCCATTGGAGGACATCTCTATTCTCTCACTATTTTAGAGATGTGTGAAGCCTTGAAGCTGCCATACTGTGATGATATTGCTTTGAAGAAAGATCCAGATGAGGATCTATGGAGATTGATGGGTCATAGAGTATATGACAAATGGAGATCCAAAGCCTCACTTCTTTCTCACCTTGCAGTTTGATATGTGCATAAGTTGTTGGCACACACTATGCTCAAACCCGAGCTGGTGACACTTCAGCTACCTTTCACAGAACATTCAAGGTTCCCTTGTTTTACCTGCATTATTGGCAAGAACTTAGTAAAGGTTAAGCATGAGATGATCACTTCAGAGTGCCAAGACTTCTCACCAGCCTTTGGGAGCATCATTACATCACTTATGATTGCAGCAGGAGTGGACTTTTTAGCTGAGAAACCTCTTAGGGAAGATTGGTTTGATCTATCCTAGTTTTCTAGAAACATGACTATTTCAAGAGCCAAGAGGTTTGGAAATCGCAGGAACTAACAAAATCTCAGAGACTATGCTTCTAAACCAAAGTCAATCATTATGCTCAGATCATGTATAGTCTAGAAAAGTCTCACAAAAAAATATAGGCATAACTAGTCCGTTGATCAATCATGCGGAAGTCTAGACACATATATCTATCTTCCAGTCAAATAGCTCTTAACATTCATTTAAAGATTCAGGTGGTTTTCATCAAAAGGATTTTAGTAAAGCAATCAAGGCTAGGCATTCAAAATGGCTCTTTTAGGGGTGAAGTTCTTGTTTAGGGTTACCTTTTTCTGGAGAGACAAGATATTATGCAAAAAAGCGAGAGAGGATGGAGCTGTTGATGTCCACAGTTTCCAGTCATATTCCTCTTGCCTTAAGATTTCTGATCTCCTTCCTTCAAGGTCTTTCAATCATACCCCAGACTTAGATTTTTGTTCAGGTTTAAAACCAGTACTCACAGATGAATACTTGTAGTCTTTGCTTCAAATAGTTCGGCCATCCTAGACTCTTTTAGGCTTTTGTTTTCCTTTCCTTTCACTTTTTTTTCGATTTTTTTTTTTTGAAAGGGGAAACCGCCTTTGGATGTAGAGTCTTAGGAGGCACGAAATTTACCTTTAAGTTCAAGCTTTTTGAGGCACCATTAAGCTTTGATAGATTCTTGATGCTTCACTTTCCTAAATTCCTTCAGTCTTTCTCTTGAGTGACTGAAAACTATGGTGTTCTGATAACACCGTATTTTGACCACTTTTATGGATCATTTTGAAATACTTTTTCTATGTTTTTAATTGCTTTTAATTACTTTTATTACGTTTTTCTAGTATTTGTAGTTTCAAGACTCTTTTCAGGTAACTTTGGGAAAAGCTTAACAAAATGGATAGAAAACCAGATTTCAGCTCAGAGTCAAACTGTCAGAAGTTCACCCCCGATTGAAGGCTTTCTCACCGTCTGATCCAGCTCAAATTTGGAGATCTTAAAGATGGAAGTATCAGCTTTCCAGCACACTTTACAGCTTGGCAATCCAACGGTTCAATCAAAAGATACGCGAAGAGCAAGATGTCCCGTAAACCAGCCGGCAAGTGTTTCCACCCGCGGCCAACAGACCATTCCCCGCGGTCACAACCACCGCGACCGCGGCCAGCCACCCATTCCCCGCGGTCACGCACATCCCGACCGCGGCCAGCTAACTCCGACTTTGAAGGCCCATTTCTGAAGCCCATATCATTTTCACAGCCTCAATTTCGGAACCCTAGACACCAGAGAGTATTGGAGACTATAAATACATGTCATTTAGGTCGTTTTTAAAGAGAGAAGAAGAGAGACGAAATACTTTACAGAAATTTTACTTTAAGCTTTGTTTTTAGGTTTTAGGGAGAGAGAGATCTGTCTCTTGAACCCTTGTTCTTTCTTTTTCAATTTCGGTTTCTATTCTACTTTTTAATACTATGTTTTTGATTTCGTTTATCATGTCTGAGTAGTTTTATTGTTGGGTCTAAGGGATTTTCGATGGGGATATATATGTTTGGTGAGGATTCCATGAGCTTTTGAGCCGAATCTTAGAACTTTTTATTCTGAATTCGTTTTTACTGCATGAGAGTAGCGTCATGAACTACAATCTAATCCAGATGCTTGGTGACACGAAAGTGTTCATCCGGTGTCAGATCTAGTTTGGGAGAGCAAAACAAACATAGGAGTGGAAACCTACCTATGCGCGATTTGTGAATGCTGACGAGTCTTAAACATAATGCATCTTTTCTTTTCCAGGGCCAGAGTGGAAACCTACTGGTCAGGGTTGAGAGAGATAGTTGTCTATGATCACGACAGTGGCGTATTCATACGACAGTGACTCCAGTTCGAAAAGTTTAAGCTAAGATCTTATCAAATTTACTCTCTAGCAATGTTTTGAATTGTTCATACCCCTGAGAAAACTTCCCTGAATCCCAGCGCTTTCTTTCTTATAGATTTACACCGATTTTCATTCAAGCTTTAGTCTAGTTTATTTACTTTTTCAATCGATTTTCATTCAAGCAATTAGGTTAGCCATTTTTCCCGTTTTTGCCTGTTTTCGTTAAGTTTAGTTATTAGGTCATTTTAATTACCTTATTTTCTCTTTAGGATTCGTTTTTACATTTTAAACACACCACCACAACCCTTAAAAAACTCGCCTGGTTCTAGACTTCCTTACTTTATATTTCTTTTGAAGGCTTTTGCAGGAAAGATCCTCCTTCCCTGTGGATTTGATCCCTAAGTACTACAATCGATCAGTTGTGTACTTGCGGCTATTGATTTCATTTAGGGTAAAACTTGACACGCTCAACACGACACCGCATCATGTTCCTCCCTCTCCGGTGTTTTTGCACATATCTGTCGATACAAACTAAAGAGAGAATGCATGGAGTTTGAACATAATGGTTTGGGTAAAGGGTGTGGTACCAGATAAAGATGAACTGCCATCTAGGACAACAAAGAGTGGTAACAATTAGGTGAAGATGTCCTAAATGTATATCATGATGCCTGCTAAATCCAATGACGAGAAAATTAGATATCAAGATTAAGTTCAAGTAAAATGAGCTAGTATATCCTAGCAGAAAAGATC